TTAATTGGATTATTCTTTTACATGCTCCGAGATGCCGGCGGCTAGGCTACTTTTCCAGTTACACACAAAAATATATACACATTACTTCACGTAAAGAGACAGACCGGACAAAGATATGCGCTTCGGAGACTTGACTGTGTAATGTCAGTTTCTTCCATTTTTGAGATTTGAATCTTCAACACATATGTATATTAGTTTATGTTAGCGTGCTTGGAAACAAGACGGACTAAATGAAAATAAAATGTGTGTGTGTGTGTGTAAAGGGTTAAAAATACGTACAATGAATTGTCCAACGATGTATGGCAGCAAAGTTTCAGAATACCAAAGGGTGAAAAAGGTAACAGAGGATAATCCGAATCCAAAAAATTGTCAGGAACACAAATTCTATGCATATAAATAAAAAGGCAATGCACATATACTATCTCAGAAATAGTTCGTCCCGGACCAAATCTCCAACTACCCTTAACAATTTATGTAGCCATAAATCTTATTTTTTTATATGAACATTAATTAATAATTAATAAGTGTAATGAGATAAATGAAAAATATAGAGAAGTTCTCAGAAAGAATTATGTTAAAGTTCCGTACAAAAAAATTAATTATCACAAGATCCATGAACAATTGACATAAGGGGATGTAAATCATGAATGTGTTGTAAATTGCTTTATATTAGTTGTTAATGAATCTCATGATAATTAATTTTTTTATATAAAATCTGTATGTAATTTTTCCAAATTCGTGAGAAGATAAAACTAGTAATAAGAAAAAGAAAGAAAGACGAGGTGCGTGTGAAGACTGAAGGCTGGAAATAGATGAAGGGGTTACAGAGATCAGCCTAAGCAACAAAAGTTGGGTATGGAGGTCCAACCCATCTCCTTTTTGTTGGAATTTTTGTTGCAGTCTCATTTGGGCTTTGTCATGACCTTCATTATGTAGTACAAGCATTTCCAAACGTATCCTATTGGGCTTGGGCCTTTCACTCTCACCAGAAATTAAAGCCTGTCTTTGCCTCGATTAAAATGTGTCCCTCAATCATTGGGGCTGCGGTTTAGCAAAAGAAGTTGTAGTTTCTTACCTAGAATCAATGTTAGTCTGAATTTATGTCCAGGGCGATATTTATATTTAGTATTTAATAATGTCTTAAATAGAATTATCTACATAATAAAAAAATGCATATGTGTAATTTAAAAAAAAAAAAAAAGGTATTCCTCAACATGACATACGTAATGGCTTCTATTTCCAACTACCTATCACCTATACCTATATAGCCTACTGTATCATAATACTACAAGTCAAAAGTTTCAGTTTTGGGCGCGTGATGAATAGTCCCAAACGAATGACCGGTTTACTAGCATCGTTAAATCTCAGTGTTCCCAAACGCATGATGAAATAAAATTGAGAGAATGAAGATGAAATTAATGAGAGTTACAAGCCGACCAACTTTTTTTAAAAAAAATTGTAAATATTGATGTAAATAACTTATTGAGAAGTATTTGATTCAAGTGATAGAAGGAGTTATCTCAACTTATTATATGATCTTGAGTTTAAATTTTAAAATATGCAATTATGTTAAATAAAATATATCAAAAGCATCCCTGAGCCTGCACAAGAGGTTTCCAAGGCGATGGAATAAAAAAAAATTAAATAACTTATTTGTAATAATATTAGCAAACTTAAGAACCAGAGACTGCCTTCTGGTTTCTGCAGGTCCTCATGGAGAAATTATGGACAAAACTTAATATTATATGTCATGGGCACACGCAAAAACACACATAAACAAACAAACACAAACACATGCCAAACTAATTAAGCTGATTTGATTTAGAGCCAAAAAAACTTGGAAACTGTAATACTGTCTTGAGATGAAGCCAATCATATAGAGACTTTCTACCTCAACCAAAACTATTAATTACTGCCGCCTTCTATAAGAAAAAATCATTGAAAAATCCTCAGCACAACCAAAACTAGCAGCTTCAAATTTTTTATTCAATATATGGACATATAGGGTTTATTTTCGAAGCACACACACAGTCTACATCCTTGTAATATTAAAAATTAAAGGTCACTATTTTCATATCTCTGCAAGATTTGGATAAAAAGATGATTTATATATATAACTTACCTGCAACATGCAGATGATAGTATAATAACCTATAATTGTTTTAGTACCCATCCATATTGAATAATAGTATCCACAAGTTAAATATAATCTAAAAAGTTCCCAATAATTTGAGTGAGAGAACTAGAGAAGACAAAGGTATGCACATCAAAATATCAAATCCATCTTATACCATTGATCCATCACATAAGATAAAAAACGAGTGGTAGGAGTATTGAACTCCTGATAATTGAGATTAATTATTAGAGTCTTGTGACCTTGAATAATTTAACTTGCACTTAATTAATCTCCTAATCAAGATATCTTTTCATTATTTATTTGTTCAATAGCCCCCACACGGGGTGGCCTGACATGTCAAATAATAACTAGCTCAAAATAATATATCAAATAATTAAAATGAAAAATATTTAACTTGGTACATTAATATAGTTAAAATTTTTGAATTTAAATAATATATAATAACTAGCTCAAAAGTTAGGAAACTGTCCATGTTTTTATTTTTATCTTATTAGATTGGAAAACATATTTACAATCTAGACTAATGTATGACTTTTGAAGATTGGATATGTAAACTAAAATAAATTTACAATTATAAAAGACATACTATGGTGGATATAGCCTATTGGTGCAAATAAATCTCTGTCTCGATCGATCTTCGCATCTGAAAAGTTTCAGGCAGGATCTCTCAATAAATCACACTACAAATAAAATCAGAACACGTAAAATAATGGCATAGGTTTCTGTAATTTGACCCAACAATTTAGCTTTAAGGATCAAATTAAGCAACATAAATGGAAAGCAAAAAAATTATTTAAAATAGTGTCCAGACAAAGACAAGGTTAACCCATATCTCAATCCCTTGATTGAAGAGATAAAAGATACAATTTTATATAAGATTTATTTCGCAGTAAGATATTATAGGTTATTGAAAATACAATCACGGTAAATATTATTAAAAACAGACACCTTGATTCACCAACATTCATATGGTTGAGACCATTAGATGGGTCATCAAAGTTTAATGAATCAGCTAACACTTTAACGTGTCGCTGTCATGTGAGCAATTACGTATTATCAGTGCCCTACATGTCAACCACTTAATATGCAATGCGTGCGCATTGTATGTCTTGATTCGTTGCACGAACCCTCACTTGTTTTGTTTTGTTTTTCTTTTTGTTTTTTTTTTAATAATGTCCATTGTCTTTGTTTTCTCTTCCCTTAACCTCTCTTTCCCATCTTCACTGCTTGGTGCTGTCATTTCCAATTTAAAGTACAACGCCGCTGAATAATTTATAATTTATAATTCAAGTGATGAATTAAGTCTCAACAATTATTATTTTGGAAAAAAATTCTAAATAATTATGAAATTCAGAATTCGTTCGGGAAGTACTTAATATCTAGTTTTAATAATACCTTAAATTTACTTGTCATTTCAATAACTACTTGTTAGTAAAAATAAACTTGTATATTAAATATAATCCATATTCATATATTTTTAATACCAATAACTAATGACAATTCAACACCAGACTTTCAATTATTGAAATTTCATTAAGAGACTATTGGGACACAACATCGTTGTCAAATAGGTAGGTAACCTAGTTTTCGTATTGTTTACTTGAAATTCACAACTGATTTAATACGTTTCACAGTTGTCTATTTGAGAGAAGAAAAAAAGTTCAAATTAATTTTACAAGTTGTAAGTATGTATAGGAACTGAAATTGCATATAAATCAATTATGAATTCCAGGTAATTACAATACTTAGAAAAATTAGTAATTAACCCAAATGAATCTGTCTCAACGGTCTTTCCATGAATTTTAATAATTGGAGATCTATAATTGAAATTAATGGGTTCTAGGTTTAATTAATCATCATTTTTCCATAAAAATATATAAATTCTATAGGAAGGCGTGCAGTCTTCTTAGGCAATATTACCAATGTGACTTTCTTCAAACTCAATGCAACGAGGCCCACAATTTGGTTTATGTAAACTAACAAGTTTGAATATGTTTCCTTTGATACTTATTACCTTGTTAAGAACTTAATTTTAAGTACCTATATATATATATATATATAATGACCAAGAAAAAATAAAGGAGAACTTCAGTTAAGGACTAAGAAAGAGATTTAATTTTAGGTGGATTCAAAAATATTATGAAATTTCAGTTTGGTAAAAAAACTAAAATACTTTTTACATATTATGTAAAATCATTTGTTATTAATTTTCTTACTATACTTATTAATTTATCAATATTATTTATAAATTACATCTATTTGTCAGACAATTAATAACATTAGTTGTTAATTTGCTAATTTTTCTTATTAATTTACTAACATTGATTGTAAATTACAAGACCTATTAATAATTTATAATTGATATTAATAATTAACAATAGATGTTGTTGCTTATGATTAAAAAACTAATGTCAAGTCTTATACAATTATTGACATATCAATTCATGTAATTTGCAACTCATTTTTGTAAATTAACAATTGAAATAAAAAAATTAACAACTAATGATTCTGCATAATATGTGAAGGGCAGTTTAGTCTTTTCGCCTTTAAAATTCTTTTAACTTTTCTCTCCTAGATTGAAATGAAATTTTAAAATATTTTTAAATCCATATGAAATTAAACCTCTTTTATAATCTTTAATTGAAATTCTCATAAAAGTAAACTTCATGTATAGATGTGTACATAGTAATTAATAGAGGGTACTAATGAGCATATATAATATATGAATGTGGGGGCAAAAGCTCTCATCAAATATGTTTTTTCTCAACAAAATCTAGGGCTTCTTCTTTGGTGGGACCCTTTAAAGATTTGCTGTGTCACTTATACTTCTCTTCTCTTATATAATATCACCTGCTCTTTCTCCTCAAGCCCCCTTCTTCGTCTATCCAAAGACTTCCCCTTTCTTTCTCTTTTCTTTCAAACCTACTTGCAGCTTAATTCATATACTGCAACTTACTGGAAGAAGATTTATGAAGGAAGGTGGTAGAAAACATGGTGCAATGTCGCCGTGTGCGGCGTGCAAGCTTCTCCGGAGGCGATGTGCTCAGGATTGCCTCTTTGCTCCTTACTTTCCTGCGGATGAACCTCAAAAGTTTGCAAGTGTTCACAAGGTTTTTGGTGCTAGCAATGTCAATAAAATGTTACAGGTTCAATTCTCTCCTTCATAATCTTATCGTTTTTATAAAAGAAAAACTTATATGCAGTGGAGTGGTTTTTTGTTAATTCAAGTCATTTTCAGCTCTTGTTAGGTAATCAAGAAAAGGATTTTACTATTTATGAAAAACTACTTATAACTACATCGAACCTAAAATCCTTGAGATACCTAACTTGTAATTATCCTTAAGTAAGATCTTTACACTTGGGCTATTTCGTAAGAAGGGGAAGGAAAGGACATAGTTTTCAATTGCCAGTATATCTAGGTTTTTCAAGAACCGTATCAGCAGGGGAAAAAATCTGTTTACATACTCATTTAATGTGAGTGAGAGTGAGTGTGTGTGGTGTCCCACTACAATGTTGTTTACTGATACACAAAACTGAATGTCTTTTTCTTAATTGACTAATAGCAACTCAATAAATTATAGCTTAATTGGAAAGATATTTCAGTGTGTGGCTGACATTAAATCATCAATCAGGTATATTTATTATGACCTAGTTCTGCTCTCTAGATAATCATTCTTTGATTAATTACATATATAACAGAATATATATATATATATATATATATGTATATGTATATCCTGCTATATCTTTTGTTTTGGTCACCAAGGATGCAATATTCTTATATAATACTTTGTTAGATTCTACAAGCTCTACTAATTTGTTTTCTCCTTAAACTATTGAGCTTATTGCAGATTTAGATTTGTTTGGCTTTGAGTCTATATATTAATTTCTTCCTTAAGCAGCATACTTTCTTTAATAAGCTATTATTCCTTTCTGAGAAGAAAGTAGTTTATATATATGCACCCCAAAAAAGAAAAGGAAAAATTAGAAAGGGGAATCTTTCTTTTTGTTTCTCCCACCATCTAGTTCTGTTATAGTGGTTAGTTACAGTTGAAGACCCCACCCTTAATTAACTATAATTGCCATTCCTCTTTATTAAAGTAAGCTGATAAAATTACACCACATGATTCCTCAGTACATATAAAGACTAAAGAAAGAGAATAAAGGATCGAGTATTGTAAATGAGCTTTTGCTATTTCTTGCAGACATATATTCTTGGGGGGTGTTTATAGTGTGTGTGAGAGAGAGAGAGAGTATCGGTAGGTTAATTATAGTTTAAACATATATATTCCAACTTTGTTCAACATCTACCTTTATCGACCGCCACCAAGCTTTTAGTCCAAGACTAGCTATACCTTGTTTTTCAATGTTGTAGAAAAAAATTATGACATGCTATCACCTTTTCTTTTTTTGTCTTTAAAAATATGGGTTACATTGATATAGGGACTGCTTGTATAGCACAAGCACAAAAGTGACGTTGATGATTATGAGTAAAACACTCACATGATTTTTCTTCAAATCTATGTAATTTATAATATATGAAGCAAATTAAAAATATTTATTTCGTAAGCATGACATCTAGATGACATGTTATCACCTCCCGTTTTTACTACGTATAGTACCTTTTCTTTATTTAAGTAGGTTAAGATGCATGTTAACATACAAACAAAGCTCTGCCTGATTTTAATCATAAAATAACAAATATGTGCGTGTATCTTTCAACAGATATATATATATATATATATATATATATATATAACGTTATTTCTTCAATAAAAAGATTAACAAATTGTGGTAGAATGAATTGATTTGTATATGTTAAGGTCAAATCACGTATAGTACTGGCCATCATCATCACTCTGAATTCCAGCATGCGACCAAGAAAATAATTGCAGGGTTAACTTTTGGGTCACGAAAGAATCAAAATTTCAACGGCTTCACGTTCCAGTCCATTGAACCGTTCGGAGAAAGCTAAAGTCAAGCCACTATATATAATTTTGCAGTCACTCACCTATTATCTTCTTTCGGTCCAAAATTAACAAACAACTTTATCATCACCGAGATAAATGTGCGTATATATACGGAACTTCTTTTTGACTAAGTATCTGTTTTTAATCAACCAAGCATGCAGCTAACCTCTAGCTTCCCTTCACACACACACACACACGCACACACACACAAACTGAAAGCTGTGCGCTTCACACATGAATTTGGGGCTATACTAAAATCATATATAGCTTCTCATAACTCCTTCTTTTGATCTCTTAGATGATTAAAGAAAAAAATTCTTATAAAACATTTGCAATGGTTTTCTTGAAGAGACATTAATGGTCACTTTCATATTAGTGAGAGTGGCGGGGTGAACCTCATATGTGGCATGTTTGCTTTGTGAATGGTCTATAGATAATTAGATATATCGTGGCAGACATTGTTTACCCAGAAAATGTCTAAGACGACTGCACCTCACCCACATGGCCGTACGTACGTAAATGTGGTTATATTATTGTGTGTGTGAATATATATGACTGTAGCTGGAGAATCAATATAATTAAATACAAATAGTTGTGGTTGGGTGAAAATGACACAGGAACTACCAGAGGAACAGAGGAGTGATGCAGTGAGTTCAATGGTGTACGAAGCAAATGCGAGGATGAGGGACCCAGTGTATGGATGTGTGGGGGCGATATCGTCTCTTCAGCAACAGGTTGATGTGCTTCAGACCCAACTGGCTCTTGCTCAGGCCGAGCTTGTTCACATCAGAAATAATCATCAACCTTCTTCATCTTCAAACCAGCCCCAATCCTCCTCTCTTGATCACGCCAAGTCTTCTCTTTTTGCACTCGACAATGTCACCGAGTCCTTGTGGTCCTGCTAACAAGCCAGCTAGGCTTTTTAGATCTCGTCTAGCCACTGTGTTTCACCATTCATTCTCTTTATCTCTCTCATCATGCTGTGGCCAGATTGAGAGGATATATTCGGCTGACGGATTTGAGGTCTATACCGCCCCTGTCTGCTATCCCCTCTAATGCCTAAAATCTTAACCCTTCATTCCAGTCAATGGTTAGCGAAATTTTATCTAATTCCCACAAATGAAGGGCTGAGATTTTGAGTATTAGAAGGAGCAGCAGACACTCTAAATCCTCAGCTAACTAGCTAGCTTAAGCATTGATAAGGAGAATTAGGTATATATGGGGTGCTTTGTTTCATTATCATTGTAATTATTAGGGGTTTGCTTTGTTGTCTCCCCTGTAGTTTTTACCACACCTTCTGCTTTACTTTGTATATTTAATTTGTATCTCTCACTTTTTTCTTTGACTCGATCTACTGCAAAGGATATATTTTTCTCCTTGCTAAACGTTAACCCTAGATACTGACATGATGATCATGATTAATTAACCTTAATGCAAATTATCAAACTTGTAACTATTAATAATCATACGGTTGTTGTGTGTCATCGTCTAGGCATCAATTAATTTGACCCTCATGTCTGTTTTTATTTATTCTGTGCACACGACTTTTCGGAATCAAAATCCTTTCCTATATATATGGCTGTACATACAAATTAAGAGAGAAATAAGATTAAACAATGGCCAATAATTTGTCCTTTCAATGTTAGGCCTAATTTATTTTGAAAATTCGCACATACATATGATTAAGTTAATATTTAGAATAACATTCACTTTGACAAGATTAACCTACAATATGTTTTTATAGTCGTTGTGACATTATTATAACTGCTGTTTTAATTTCCTCTTCTGTTTTAATTTGTGTTCCTTTCATTGAAGCATGTTATGCTGTTGCCCCGCATAATAATTTTGAAAAGTCTTGCAGATATTGTATGGAATGGTGAAAAACATTTCATCATCGATCAGCCGATCAAAACCATAATTATACTATTCGCCAGCAAGATTAAGCTCCACTATGAAAGAACATGATGAAGTTTTTATCTTAGTTAATTACTAAGCATCGGGCATCTTAATTATGACTTATGATTGTTTATTTAACAACACATGACTCGAATCTTTTAACACTAAAGGAAACTAAATGATGTCTCTAGGCCGTAATTGTTATACAAGCAAGCATATTATTAGTTCTTTTAAATTTATAAATCTATATAATATATACATCCATTTGTGTACAACTTAGAATTATTTAATTTCCTATTTCACTGAGAATACGATATTAATTGGGCTTTTTAATAATTTCACTTTCTCATTAACCTATGCAGTCATGCATTTATTGAGGGTTGTTAATATATATAAGGCCAATAATTATGCGAACAAACCAATCTGATAAAGTGACCCACTTCCGATATTTTCCCATTAAGCGTGAAAGGAAAACATAATAACAACAACATAAAGCACCAAAAGATCAATCCCAAGACCAACTTGTCCACAATCATATATATAATTTTAAAATTAAATAAAAAATATCTAGCTGATCATGCAAGTGGCTGGTTCATAATTATTTTTAATATAATATATATTAATTATATATTATATATATGTATTAATTATAACAAGATGATGTCCTTGGAATTAATTAGGGAGAGATCCTTTTAGTTTAATTTGACAGTTAATTAATAGGAAAAATGAAAGTTGAGCACACACCTTCAAAGACTTTTTCTTTTAGGTCCTGAAAATTTTAAGGTCCCATTTGCTTACTAAAAAATAATGGAATGGAATAGATTAAAAAAATAAAGATAAAAATAAGATGATCAAAGGGGATATATGAGCATATTCAGAAAGGAGAGAACTAATTTAATTTATAAGGTTGGGAATCATGATTTCTAAGATATTTGGACAATATAATAATTCTCATATTTGTAGTCTATATTAATAAATTTTATCATACTTATCATAGGAGAAGGGTGATTTAGTTTATTTTATCTTGATTTTTTTAATCTATTTCATTTCATTTTTTTAATAACTAAACAAGACCTAAAGATACTACCATCACTTGCGTGCCCAAACTTCAAATAAGGACTGAGACTTGGTGAAAAATGATATTTGTTTTGAATGAAAAATTAAAAATATGCTCTTCCTCATGTATAAGAGTGAATGACTAAGATATTTTATTAATGGGAGTTGAGCTTAATGAAAGAGCCTAGTTCTTTAAAATATGATGAATCAATATTCAAACTTTTATTAGACGAAGTACTTACATTTAGTATTCAATTATGTAGGATTGTTACAATAGGAGGACACTTAGAGCAACAAAAAAAAAATTGGGGATGGGCATTTTTGTTTCCACAAAAGATATTGATCCTTTCACATTTGTAAAATTCATGAAGTTGAAAATGTAACTAAAAGTCTAAGAGCTTTCAGAAGTGTCAACTTTCCCAATTTAAAATGTGCATCTGCCGGTCTAAAGATATTAAGGTCATGCTTGACTACATCAATTTTTTATATGTGCTGATATTTTTAAGCCAAACTCAAGTCTATCCCATCTGAATTACCAATAGTCTCTTGCAATTACGATTGGTAATCATTCAATTGGCTGTCAAAGTCAACCCAAAATTTATATGGTTGTCTACGAGGCCCAAAAGCCCAACTTTTTATGGACTAGAAGGCCGAAAAGCCCTATCTCGTCAATATTTTAGAGAATAAAGCCTAGCTTCTGGGTTATATCAGATGCTAGGCTAATTTTAAAGTTCAAATGGACCTTCTCACCCAAAAAAAAAAAAAACAGAGTTGAGTAACGATATTTGTGCCGGTTTTATTTTGGGTGCAGCTGTATTATGTACGTTGATCTCGAACAAGTAAAAGTTCGTTCCTTTAAGTCCAATGGGCCCTCTGGATGGTATGGTACTGGAGCCCGGTTGGGTTGTGGGGCCCCAGGTTCACTTGCTATCTCTGACCCGGCCGGTTCTTCGTTTGGTCACCCATTGTGGATTCTTCTTGACAAGAGCGGATGGTTATCCTAGAGGAACTTAGATTTTCAAGTTTTTTTATAATATACAATAAATATGAATCTGTAAAGTATACGAAAATTTTTGTGGCCCATATTGACAACCAATATTGTATTAGAATTAAAACAATGAGAACAAATGATGGGACTAAGTTTATTAACAAAAGAAGTGCACGATAGACTTTAATTTGTTGATGATAAAGGGATTATTCATGAGCACACTTCTTGAAACCCATTTGCCAACCTTCATGACATCACGTGTTAGCATTGACATCAGTTAGCGAAGAAGGATTATTCATGAAAAATCTTGTCTTTACACTCCCTAAACACACGGCGATGTAGAAAGGAAGTACATATAGACATCTTTGTAAAATAGCAATGAGTATAATGTTTCATTATGACCAGCCAATCAGGTTTTGGGGAGAGAGCATGGATTTTGAGCAATGTCACATTGTCTAAATTGACATATCATAAACACTCTAATTTATATTTCATTCATTATAAATTATAAAGATATTTTTAAATAAAATAACACATATCAATAAATTTTATTAAATATACTTTATAATTTTATTTTTTTTAAAATAAAAATATAAACTTTTAAAGTTATCTTTTATTTTATACTTCATTTATGAAATAATATCAATGAAAGAGAGACTATAAGAGGAATGGTAACGTTGGAAAATCATCATTAATAAAATTTTATGTTTGTCAAAGTATTTTATCTTTTAGAATGCCAAATCTCATTCAAAATATCTTATAATTTAGGATTGAGGAAGTATAATTTAGAACTTTTTTGTTGTCAATAACAACCAATGATCAACAATTAATGCCACACCTCAACCACACTCTAAGATTTAGGGATCTAAGACCATCCAGTATGGCTTAATGATTGCGTTTCTTAATTATAACGGCCTATCCAATTCCTGTATATCACTGATTTACCATTGATAAAGAAATTGAACACTGCAGCTATGATTAAGGACATGAGAGATGGGTAAAGGCTATGAATCGGAGGATGAAGTTAAAGCTTTATATAATACTGCTTGGAAGACAAGGACTTTAGCCACATGAAAAAGGCCAACAGATTAGCTGTAGGTAGGCATATATAAAATCAAACATATATCAAATGGTAGTATATGGAAAGGTTTAAAAAAGTGTTTCTAGTTCCAAAACAATATATTCAAAACAAAGGGGTTGATTATCATGAGACTTTTTCTGGTAGTTAAAACGGTGACTATTTAAGACAACGTTCACTTTCGCAGTCGTTAATTGGCCACAATGAATAAAAAATGCACATAATGAGTTCTTGTAATAAGAATATTTACATTAGGATGTCTATATGACTATATCTCAAGGCTTTGAAAGCAAATTAAGGAGGAAATGGATTTAAGGTTTTTAACTAAAAAAAGTATTGTATATTTAATTTTAAATGGGACAGCTTCTAGGCAGTGGAATGAGAAAGCTCATTTCACTCAATCATTAATAAATTAAAGGGAGGTTTTAAAATGAGTAAGTATGATTCACTATTTCTAAAACCAAATGATGATTTAATTATAAGACTCCCAACTGAAACTATGATAAGGATCGTTTAATTGAAGATCCAGGTGTTTATATATATAAAAGATTGATCGGTAAGTTATTATATACTGGACTTTGATTAGACCTTTTTTTACATGTGTGTGTGTGTTTCATTGCAATGCAGGTGTTAAGCCAATATGTTCACCTAATTACTTTAATATTTTACTAAATTTATTGGCATTTTTAATTTAATTGGAAGTCATGCATTTAAATTTATTAGCAAAAGTATGATCAAGTGGATAATTATATGTGAAAATAGACATGAAAATGTAATTGAAAGTAGTTGACCAATTATAGTATTAATTTTGAGTTTTATATATGTGGGGAGGCATAATTTATGGGTCCAAAGATGAAAATTTTGAAGCCCCAGTTCAAGGAAGTAAATTTAAAAAGAAATTTTATATATGTCCTATTTGTTACAGCGAAAATACATTTTTCTGCAATGAAGCGAAAATATGTCCTATTTGTTACAGCGAAAATACATTTAGTAAAATGTATAGTTTTAATTTTTAACAAACTTTTACTATTTAGGGACCTTATTTTCAACCATTCCTCAATTCTAGCAACTGCAAAACATCTAGGGAGAGCGAGAGGAGCTAAAGGAGGATTGGAAAAACGTTGGTTTAATGAAAAATCAAGAATTTTTCTTAAGATTATTCTAATTAAATTTTTCTTCTCCTTCTTCTCTTTACTTTTCTATATATTATTGTTGATTTTGCTATCATAGAGCCATGTGTGGCTAATTTTCTCTTAATCTAGGATAGCTATGAACTAATTCTTGAATTAGAGCATGTTTGAACCATTTATTTGAACTTAATATTAGTTTTATTTACTTAATCTTGTGCCTATTTCTCTATTTAATAC